GGCCCTACTTTTGGGGCACTTCTTTCTCTGTTTGCATCCTCATGGCAACAGAGAACACACTGATCGCCTCTGCCCACAGCTTTGCAACTTAAGATTCACAGAGCCACTGGCTGGGCAGCTATTCAGGGCAGCCTTTCATTTTTGTGTTATTTTTCCTTCTTGGCCCAGCAAGACTAGTCAAAGTCAGGAAATGAAGATCACATTGTCTGAGTGTGCCCTGACTAAATTCCATTAGATTGACAAGCTCTGCAAGTCCTGATTATCTCAAGTTGTCTTCCTATGCATAAAAATACATTGTAACCAGCATCAAAGGTGTCTATTAAAGAAAGGTTCATTGGAGAGTGATGCTAGCTTATCCAGCCCTCAGGAGAGTAGTTATGAGACAGTCCTGTCCTCTGCCATGGAAGAGATGCTGAATTCTATACAGGAAGACTTCCTGTTCCCACGTTTCTGGCCCTCTAGGGGAAAGAGGAGTAGGAGGTCACTGTTGGGTAGAAACCCAGTAAAGAGAAGCCTTTTTCTGCCATGGAAAGTCGACTAAAACAGTCCTCTCACCATAAGGAGAGAGTAGAGTTTTGCAAAGTGTATTGGAAGGAGCAAACCTTAGCAATACAATTAACAGAGATTATACTTGAAGGGGCTCTTACAGAATGGGAGGTTTGTTTCTCTGTGGGTGTTTTGGCTTTTGTCAAAAGGGATGCCATCAGTCTCTGATCCATAGGAGTTTATGACCTCAGAAGAATAACAGAGAATATGCTTTGATATATAGAAAAAAAAACAGTGAAAACACTAACACAGAAATCACATGGAAGGTTCGCTTTTATTTGCTTTTGAGGATGACAAGAAAGCAAGTAAAAACAAATGTTATGTGTAATTGACAGGCTCAACAGTTGCTGATGACTTCCATTTATTTAAGAACCTTTCACTGAGTAGCCACAAACGTCGGAAGTGCCCGATAACCCAGAGACATAAAATTATCGGAGACACACTTCTGCTCTCAGACTGGTGTACCAGGGGCGATGGAAGCGCAACCACCGTGATGCCATCAGACAAGCGAACACGTGAACAGATGTAGGAGGCTCTCAGAGTCCAAAGGAGAGCGTGATGACTCTTTCTGGAAGCTGATGGAGAGCTTCAGAGATGGGGCAGAGTTCCAGCTGGGTCCGCATGGAAGAGGCTAGAGGAGTGAAAAGACGTGGAAGGAGCGATCACATGTGGTTTCATAGGAGAATTACGAGTGAGGCGGAAACTGTTGTCATTCCCCACATGCGGGCTAAGTCACTTCAGCTGCGTCTCTTTATGGACTACTCTACTACAGACTTGGAGAAGGAAATGGCAACCCGCTCCAGTACTCTTGCCTGGAGAATCCCATGGACAGAAGAGCCTGGTGGGCTACAGTCCGTGGGGTCACAAAGAGTTGGACACTCACTGAGTGACTAACACTTTCACTAGTATAGACTGTAGCCCACCAGGCTCCTCTGTCCACGGGATGCTTCAGGCAAGAATAATGAAGTGGGTTGCCATGCCCACCTCCAGGGGATCTTCCCGACCCAGGGATCGAACCTGCGTCTCTTAAGTCTCCTGCATTGGCAGGCGGGCTCTTTACCACTAGTGCCACCTGGAAAGTCATTCCCCTTATGCTCAGCAAATCCCATTCCCCTCAGGTATGGGTACCATATTCTTCTGAAGACATGATGAGGCTCCTCACCAGCCCAGGGGTATGGTTTTAATAGTCTAAGCTAATCAAATGCATCAGTTCCCCTCACCAGTGACTGCTTTTGGTATAAGCTGGCATTATTATGAGCTAAACTGTCTCCCCCAAAGACATGCTGGAGTTGTTACCCCAGTACCTGTGAAAGGGATCTTATTTGGAAACAAGGCCTTTGCAGATGAGATCAAGGTAAGATGAAGTCATTAGGGCAGGTCTTAATCCAGTGTGACTGGTCCTTATAAGAAGAGAACACTTTCCTGTGATCCACTGGTTCAGACGCCACACTCCCAATGCAGGGGGCCCTGGTTCGAGTCCTCATCGGGGAGCTAGATCCCGCATGTAGTGACTAGGACTCTGTGCAGCCACAGGCGTGCGTGCTCAGTCGTCTCTGACTCTTTGCCACCCTATGGACTAGAGCCCACAAGCCTCCTCTGCCCATGGAATTATCCAGGCAAGAATACTGGAGTGGGTTGCCATTCCCTCCTCTGGGGGATTTTCCTGACCTAGGAATTGAACCCGCATCTCCTGGGTCTCCTGCATTGGCAGGTGGATTCTTTACCACTGAGCCACCTAGGAAGCCTGGCACAGCCACATAAATAAATATTTAAAAAGAAGAGAACACCAGGTGATGGTGCAGAAACAGAGGGAGAGCGTGGTGTTGAGACGGAGGCCGAGACTGGAGTGATGAATCTATAAACCAAGATCACCAGGGATTTCTGGGAACACCAGGTCTCCTCCTGGAGGCTTCAGCAAGGACTGGTCCTGCTGATATCTCGATTTTGACCTTCTGCCCTGTCGTGAGACGATAAATATCTGTTGTCTTAGGCCAACAAGCTTCTAGTACTTCCACAGTGATGTCATCCAATGGTTGAATTTCCCTAGAATTTCTGAATTTTCTTTATATACAATAATAAAATTTCTTCCTGTGCCCCCTTAAGAGGTCTCTGTTCCCTGCATGCGAAAACGCCTTCACTCAAACATCAAGGGTTAGTGGGCTCGAGAGGACACATTTGAAGTCAGGAAGTCTTTTGCTTGCTACCAGCAGCTGGCCTTGGTCACCATTTCCAGTAAGTCCTTTGCAGAAGGGACACTCCCGGAAAAGGGACCACCTTTATTACTAGCCAGCTCCAAATCCCACTAAGGCTTCTTCCCTGGTGAAGATGGCAGGGTGGACTATGAGTCTTGAGGTCCTCTGGCCTCCTCGTCCCAGAAACACTGTCCCGCCCCACCCTCTCTACCATGGAGTATTTCTCCATGCACCCTCTGGGTTTCAGCTTAGGCACCGTTGCTCCGAGATGGCTTCACTGACTCCTAAGACAGGTGTAGGGGCCCTGTTTTTTTCTTTTTTAACGTTTATTTATTTTGGCGTGCTGTGTCTTCTTTGCTGCGAGGGCTTTTCTCCAGTCGTGGAAGGCAAGGGTTACGCTCTGGTTGTGGTGCTCAGGCCGCTCACTGTGGGGGCTTCTCTTGTGCCGCGTGGGCTTCAGTAGCCGTGGCTCCCGGACTCAGCACAGGCTCCGTCGTCGTGGAGCACGGGCTTAGTTGCTCTGAGGTGTGTGGGATCTTCTCAGATCAAGGATGGATCCTGTGTCTTCCGCACTGGCGGGCAGTTCTTTACCACTGAGCCCCCTGGGAAGCCCCTAGGCGGCCTGTTAATAGCGTTCTGTGCACCTTGGTCTTGCCCCACCTCGGATGACACTGTATTGCAATTGCCTGTTTATTGTTGCTCTCTCTCACAAGGCTCTAAAGTCTTGGGGGCAGAGGGACATCCCTGGTGGTCCAGGGTCTAAAACTCTGTGCAACTAAAGATCCTGCATGCTACAATGAAGACCCGGTGCAGCCAAGTAAGTAAATAAATAAATATTAAACAAAATAAAGTCTTCGGGACAAAGACTGCGAATGTCCCACTTACTGTTTCATGCCCCATCTAATGCAAGGACTGTCCCATAGTAGGCACTTGATAAATATGTGTTAAGCGAAAGAAAGAGGTGGCAGTGCTGACTGTCTGCAATCTAGAGTTTATCCACAGCCTTCTGATGAGGGCCTGAAACAGGGGGGTTGGCCAGGGCCTTGGCAAAACACGAAGGAGGCAAGTGAGCCTTTGCCCCCAGCCTCAGGATCCTATACAGGCTTTCCTCCACACTCCTCACCTTTCTTTCCTTCCCACCTTCTACTTCTCTTTCTAGGTCCCTCAAAAATTTTCTAGAACTGGGCCTTATTTGACCTGAATAGGTTAAGGAAAAAAAAAAAAAGGCATCATCATGGGTTGTCTAAAGTGATCAAGTAATCTACCACTACTTCTCTTAGGGAAAAACAGTTTAAGAACGCTTTTAATATCAGTTAAACTGCATGGAACTACGTCTCCAGAAGAGTCCTAAAAAGTAAGGTCAGGAATATATGATACGGAGGGAGGAGGAAGCAAGTGGGACCTTGGCTACCGTCAGAAGTCGGTCAGTGGTGCCTACTTTGGTCTGGGTTCCGGGAAGATCTTTTGGACATCACTCCACCTTTGACACTTGAGGACATGTCCATAATGATCCTGGTGTAGTGTTAACCTGATCGAAGGTCAATCACCCCTTAAAGCTGTCCGTGCATTTGTTGCACGGGTTTTTCTTCTATAGAGGAAAGCATGCAGTGTTCTGACAGGTGTAAAAATTCTAACGTCAAGTTTTTTTTTCCTTTATTCAGAAAACATTTGGGTGTTTCCCACGAATGCACCAAATACTGTGCTGCGCATCCTTGTCATCAATGGTAAGACATTCAGGAGTCGTATCTAGCGGAGCCTATAGCCCGCTATAGGAGTACAAATAAATATATATACACGGTATAAATTTGCTCCAAATGTTGTGAAGCAAAGCAATAGATTGTTGAGATAGTGAGTAAGGTGCAGGGGGGGGAGCGGCCACCTAGCAGATGAGCAGGGACAACTTTCCTGAGAAGGTGACATCTGCGCGGATACTTAAAAAGATGAAGAGTCAGGCTTCCGGGTCAAGGCCACTGTAAGTCAGTTAGAAGAGCTCACAACCTCTCCCGCAGCAAGGTGGGACGTACGGACAACGAGGCCCCGCTGCCAGCACTAAAGATGGCGGGCGGGAGGGGGGCGGGGACAGGGCGTGTCCGCACAGTGATTGGTCAGGCGGGGGTGGGCGGGGCGTCACGTGGGCCGGCTGAGAGCATCCGGGCTCCCGGTGGCGGCGCTGCGGAGGCTCCCGGGAGCCCGGCGGCGGCGCGGGGCGGCGAGCGGGCCGGCGATCGGGGGAGCCTCCCGGGCCGGCCGCGTGGGCCGAGCATGGCGGGCTCCCTGCCTCCCTGCGTGGTGGACTGCGGCACCGGGTAAGAGCCGCGGGCGCCCGCTCCGGCCCCGGCGCGCCGGGCGCCTGCCTGCCCCGCGGCCCGGCCCCCCGGTCTCACCTGGGGCGCTCCGGGCCCGGGCTCGGGTCGCGGCCCTCACCTGTCCAGGGGCCCCCCTGACTCGCTCACCTTGCTGGGGAGGGAGCCGAGGGGAGACGTGGCCTCCCGGCCTCCTCCCCGCGCTCGGCCGGGCCTCCCCGGGACCCCTCCGCCTCCTGGGGTGCCGGCTGCGCACCCCGCTGCCGTTCCCTCGCCTTCCGCCTGCCTCTCGGCGCCCATGCCTTCTAATTAAAAAGTGGCCCTCGTCCTGGGTCCCCAAGCGCATGCCATTTCTCCTCGCTGATAGGGTATCTTTATCACTTACTTGTGGGAGGTTTTTACACCCGTCTCCCAAGTTGACATCTTAAAATTTTTTTTTTTTGCAGCCCACTCTGTCCTTTTCCAGTATTGAATGGCTCAATCAGGCTAAGGTCTTGCTTTAGTTTGCCTAGAGTTGCCTTTGCACTTAAGAATCTTAAAAAAGACTCCATTTTGAAAAACAGAAAAATCTAAAACGTGGGAAAGGCTGTTGGTGGTAGTATAGTTTTTATCTCTCCCCCCAACCCCGTTACTGTGGGCCATGATTGCTTCTTTTGATGTTGAGATATGCCAAAGAGACCCTTCGGAAATCTCCCGGTCCTTTCTAGTGGCCCAGGCTCGGCTCATTTTTAGGAAGGTGCTCGCTGAATCCATTTAGCTTTTGGTTTAGAAATTCAAGCTTGCCTGCTTGCACTGTAGGTGAAGTGCTTAATAAAATAGCCTGGAAGTAAGTTTAGCCTCTTAAAAAGATTTTTCAAGATGGGATTTTAGTCATTTTTTGCCACAGAGTATTCCACCCCACGTTCACCTTAGTCTTGATTCTTCTCTGTAGAGAAATGCACTTGGTTTAGTTGCCTTGACAACCTTGTGGGGGTGTCTCCCTTAATTTGCTACAGTCCATCTCCTACGGATTGTTCTTTCCTTTTGCTGCAGAAAAAGGAGTGGTTACAAGCTGGAAAAAAACTGCCTCTTTGCATGTATTAATTTTCCTTTCAGAGATGCACATTGTACCAGAAGTTTTGGGGCTCTATATTTCAGTAGTTGTTTTGCTACCCAAAACCCGAGCCAAAAACAGTGTTGAAACGAACACCACCCCCCCGCAGGTACTGGCTTCCTTATGCGTCCCCTTCTCCCACCATCTGGTGTTCACCCCACACCCACCTGAGGTCTGGTTGTGTCAGGAGAGAAGGCAGCTGGTCAAAGAATCTTTCATCCCCACATTTGCACGTGAGGGTTTTTGTGGTTTTGGTCTCATAAAACTGTTGAAATAAAAGCATTTCTTGGTAGAAGCCATAAAATGTGCCCACAGGGTTTGTCATAACTTTAATGTTAGTAAGCTGGGAGCCTTACTCATCATTCTTGCTATAAATATCAAAAGTGTGGTGCTCAGTCATGACCGTTTGAGGTAGGTGGTATCTCACGTGGCGGTGTAACTTCAGGATATCTTTGTTTTATGGGCCCAAGTTATGTTATCGTCTTCAGGCTATTGTAGGCTTTGTGTCAGGATTTAGGAATAGTGGCCGGGAATCCTCCCAGGGGGTTTCACATGGACATAGTCTGTTGTGGAAACAGGGATGGTCAGTCATAAATTTGCAGTGTCCGGTGTGTGGCCAGGAGAAGCAGCCTGGAAGAGCCCAAGTTTATTTAAGCATATTACTGCTGCTTATGTGTCCTGCAGAGCCTAGTGATTTTGGATTGACCTTTGCCTCAAAATAGGATAAAAAGGGATAAAATGCAGATAAAAATAGCTAGGACCGAAGAAAAGAATGGGCCTGGAAAATCACCTTAAATTGTAGGCCAGTAGTGCAGCTAGTCTGGCCTCAAGCTTGGCCTTCCTGTGTGACAAGATTACGAGAGAGTCATCGTCAGTTATGTGATGCCTGTCATCAGGGGAGAAGAGAAATACCTGTGAAAAATACAGGTGAAAAAGCTTTTTCTAGTACTGCATTTTAAAAGAGAAATTCACACTGAATTATACATAGTGGGCATTTATGATTGAGAGGGCAGTACACTACATGGTACTTTTTTAAAATAGCAAATAAATTTCATCCTGGGAGCCTGGGCTCATCTAATAAACCCTGAGACCAGCTTGGTGATCTCAGGTGTTGTGGGGGCTGGGATGCCATGGACCACGGCTCTGCCTGCTCCGGAGACAAAGCTTCATCCACTTAAGTGAGTTACTGAGCTGCAGAGTGTTCAGAGAATAGTACTAGCCTGACTTTTCCTAACTGACCTTGTATTTTTGAAGATTTTTGTATCCTTTAAACTTATTTTGAGAAATTTCAAATCTATTGAAAAGCTGCAAGAAGAGTACCAAAAAAATGCTATGTAGTCTCCATCCAGCATTCTAACTACTAACATGTGCTTTATTGTTCTCTGTATACTTTACACCTTATTATCTTTCTGAACTGTTTGTGAGTTGCAGCTATCCTGCTGTTTACACCAGGGTACTTCAGTGTATCCTTCATGAGAACATATAACCACAGACCAGTGATCAGAACCAGAAAATGTAACGTTTATGCCTTAGTGTTATCTTCTCTGCGGTCTGGATCCCGTGAATGGTCCCTGTATGTCCGGACGCTCAGCCCTCCGCCCTCATCCAGCACCATACACCGTGTTTGCTTGTCATCATGTCTTTTTAGTCTCGTTTCCCTGGACCAGCTCCTTAGCCTTTTTCTGTCTTTCAGGACATTGGTATTTTTGGCAGCCAGTTGTTACGGATAATGCTCCTCAATTTACACTTGTCTGGTGTTTCCTTACAGTAGTCACAGGGTGTGTTTTTGTCAGGGGAACCAGAGAAGTTATGTCAGAGCTTCTTAGTGCATCAAATCAGAAGCTCCCCGCCCCCTCCCCACCACCAACTTTATTGAGAAGTAACTGACATATTACGTTGCATAAGTTTAAGGTTACAATGTGCTGATTTGGTGGGTTTGTATATTGCAGAATGAATATCATATTGCATTACTGACACCTCCATCCTGTCATTGTAATTACCCTTTTCTTGTGGGGAGAACATGTAAGATCCACTTGTCTTGGCAACTTTCAAGTATATAGCAATACAGTGCTACTAATATCATCTCTGTGCTGTCCACCATCTCCCTAGAACTTAATCCTCTTATCAGGAGGCTTAAGACAGTCGATGAAGTTCACTTGGATCATTGGATATAGTGCCGTCCACTAGATTTCTCATTGTGTGGTTACTGTTTTCCCCTTTGTAATTCATGTGTTTTGTGGAGAGAGGTTACGAGATTGTGTAAATACCCTGTTCTGCCTTAACACTTTTCACCCATTAGTTTTAGTATCCATTGGTGGTATTCTTGTTCTAATTGATGATTACAGCGATGGTTGCAAAATGTGTGTGTGTGTGTTTATTTATTAGTTAACATTTTACAAAAAGGGTGCACTTTCCAGTAGCTCCCTTTTACTTATCATCTGTATAGGTTACGCTTTTCAAAGAGTTACTTATGTGATTGTTACTACATTCACTGGTTTATGATTTCTTACTGCCATTCCTTGTTTTCATGCTTCAGCTGTCCAGTAGTGGAAGCCCCATTCAGGCTATTCCTGGTCGTCTTGAGACATGTCCCCATCCATTTTTTGAGCATTTTGTTTTTATCAAAAGACTGCAGTGTAGTCAGTGCTGGGCATTCGTCTTTTTCTGCATTTTCTTTTCTTTTTTTTTTTTGCTGGAGCATCTCTGAGACAGGTTTCTAGAAGTGGGACTTCTGAGTCATAAGGTACTTTTGCTGGATCGTGTCAGATCCCACCCCGGAGTGTGTGTCTTCCCCAGCGACGTGTGACAGTGCTTACGTCTTCTTACAGGCTCATCTCTGTAATTGCCGAGTTAAAGAAGTTTTTTTCTTTTCACCAATCTGGAAGGTGGGAAATGATATCGTTTTAATTTGAATTTCTTATTATGTGGGAAGATGAGCGTCTTTCCACATGATGAAGTGGCATCTGCATTTCCGTTTTCTGTCTTCATTTCTCTAGCCCGTTTTTCTGCGGCCCTTCGGCCTTTTGCTGCTTTGTTTTTTGGAAGCTCCTTGTGGATTAGGGTGTGTTGAGGGTCCCACAGGCCACCCCCAGGGTCACAGATTTGCTGGGAACAATCCCAAGATGGCAGTGAAAAGGTAAAAACAGCCAAGAGGAAAGGCGCGTGGGGCGGAGTCTGGGGGAGCCAGCTGTGGGCATCCCGAGTCTTTTCTCAGTGGAGTTACTGACATCCAGTGTGACAGGCATGTGAGACCGTGTTCACTGGGGAAGCTCCATAGACAGTCAGTGCCCAGAGTTTCTCTTGGGCTGGTTGTGGCACCTTCCGCCGGGCACAAACCGGAATTCCAGCCTCAGAAGGAAAGCAGGTGTTCAGCATACACTGTATTTGGGGCATGGTGGGAGCCCTCCTGAAATCTTAAGTTCCCAGATGCCAGCCAGAGGCCAAACTTAGAAGCAAACCTTCACCTTCACCTTGGTAGGGAGAGCAGTCCGAGGCCTCTTTCCTGCACATGGAGGCGTCAGCCCTTTGTGATACAAGCTGCAAACACATTTTCCCTATCTATGTATCATTTGTCTTTTGCCATGCAAAGACTTTTTTTCTTAAAGCAGTAGGTTTATTTATCTTTTCCTTATTGTTGTTGGATTTTGAGTCATAGTTAAGATGGGTGTTCCCCCTCCCCATTCCCAGATTTTATGTAAATCTCTGTTCCACTTGAAATTTATCCTGGGATGGGGTGTGAGGATGGCCTAGTTGGAGCCAATTCTGTCTTCTTTCCTTCTGGATGTCCCGTTTGTCTCAACCTCATTTATGAAAAACAAAAAGCATAACAAAACACTGCTTGAAAATACCGCTTTTACTGAGTACTGCATTTGTCTATGCCGTTGTTTATTTCTGGATTCATTTTGGGTGC